TAGAACCATTCGATAGGTTTTCTTTCATCATGGCCTTGTGGTCATTTTAGGAGGCAGCCCCTATCCTACACTGCTCCAGCAAATCCTTCCAAATCTCACCAAACCAACTCTGCTCAGCTGACATACAATAGTATGTACATTCTTGAGTAACCTGACCAGGTAAGTCTCTTTACTTTTCCTTCTTTTTAATACGTTGAAATAGTGATGTTTAGTTGATTTCACCTCCCTGCCTTGATTGGCTTTTTAAGGACCAATGCATTTGACTTTACTTGCTGCCACTTAAGAAAATTTCACAGTGGTTTAGGACTTAATTTCATCAGGAAACATTCTGAGCTTCAGTTAAAATGTAGAATGCTTTCTTTAGCACCAGTAGAAAATAAAATTTCATTTGCTTTTACTTTGCTGCAATAACGCCAATAAGAAGATATTGCCAGGGGCACCAGGGAAGCCAATTCTATAGCTGAACAAATCGATAGTAAATCTACTTGCCAAATCTTGAACATACCCACTGAGTAAGTGTTAAGAGCACGTATATACACTCACACTTTCCCTCCTCCCTACTGAACTATCCAAGATAAGGGTAAGATTTCCTTAAAATAACTTAATGTCCTACTAAGATTTTCACATTCTCAAACTCCTCACACATACAGACTTTAGCATGGGTTTTTTGTGCACAGTTATGAACTGAAAACACATACCATCTTGATTAATAGGTAGCATTTATTGGGTGATAGCATTATTGAGTGATGATTATGTGCCTGATGCCATTCTCAGGACTTTAATCCTAGGACCTGGTGTTATTATTATCTCCATTTTTCAGATGAAGAAATTGAAGCACAGAATAAGGAAACTGCCCAGTCTCACAGCTGGTGGATGGCAGTCTGGCTCCAGAACCCTTTCTTTTTGCTTGTACACTGTACTGCCTCTTGCTGCATGTTCAGATCAAATATAGGTTTCCAGAAACTATGAGACAAAACTCTTAACAATGATGATGATGATAATTATGCAATCATTTATTGAGAATACCTGTGTACTCAGGCACTGTGGTAGGCTTTCCCCACACATTATCTCATTTAATCTTCACAACCTAGGAGCTTAGATTTTAGTATCTTTACTTTATAATTGGCAAAACTGAGGCTCAAAGAGCTCAAGTAATTTGCCCAAGGTCACAGAGCCAGTTATGGGCCAACCTGGAATTCAAACAAGTCCACAGCTAGCACCCATTCCATTGCCCACCTGCCACACTTGCATGATTTCCAGATCCAGTAAACAAAGAGAACTAGGATGTTTTTCTCAGCAATGCCATAGTCATGATCAATTTCATGACTACTAATTTCAGGAGGACACATGCTACCTTCCCACCTCAGAGTGAAGTTGGGTATGATATAATTTTAGAGCCTTTAACATCCTTGGGTAAGATATGTACTTTATGATTTTATTTATTTATTTTGGAAACAGGGTCTCACTCTCTCACCCAGGCTGGAGTGCAGTGGCACAATCTTGACTCACTGCAACTTCCGCCTCCCAAGTAGCTGGGACTACAGGTGTCTGCCAGCAGACCCAGCTATTTTTTTTTGTAGAGACAGAGTTTTGCCATGTTGTCGAGGCTGGTCTCAAACTCCTGGACTCAAGTGATCCACCTGCGTTGGCCTCCCACAGTGCTGAGATTACAGGCATGAGCCGCCATGCCTGGCCTCTACTCTATGACTTTAGAACGCAGTATTTCTGTTAAAATTTATAACTCTATTGAATAGTGTCTGTTCTTTGAATTAATGACACATGAGTGGGTGGGGTTAGAAAGTTATAAAAACGACTGAAGTTTTTCCTCCTTGTTTTCTCATAATAACTACCGGTTGGGAAAAAAAGGAGCAGGAATAAAATTCTTCAATATATGGAGATTTCCTATCTCTTTAAATTTACTGATATCTGGTTAATAGAAACAGAGTCAGATGCCAAGATAGGGAAGCAAAACTGCCAAGTCCCAGGTGGGGGAATTTCTTTCTGTTGAGAGTTGAGGGCCAAGAGCCTGAAGTAAGATTCTGGCATGTCTCCTCATGTGAGGTGGGCATCTACCCAGCAGAGGAGGCAGCCTTAGGACTGCTTGCCCTGCAAAAGTGCACCACTGGCATAGTCTGTGGGCCCTGTGAGACACTAAGTAAGTTTCGCGGCTGCCTCATATAGGTTCCATTTGAACGTTAAGAATGAAATCATGGCTTAGGTAGGTTAAGTCATGGCTCCAAGATCATAAAACTAGAAAGAGGTGAAGCCTAAACTCAATCCCAGGTAGGTCTGAATTCAAAGTCTTAACTACTGAATCTTGTCTTTTGTTTCCGGGCAGCCAAAAGAATCTAGCAGGAGGGGAGGATCAGAACATTTCTGATAATAGAACCCCCATCTCACCCCACCCCTTCTCAACAGACCTAACCTCACCAAATGATCACTAGAGTAAAACATGCTTTCCACACTTAGGTTTAGATTTTAATGTGATTACTCCTGGGTGAACTTCCAAATGTAAACAGTAGTTGATGTCAAGAACTCAAGTGAAAGAATCTTTAAATGTATTCTGAGTTTTCTCTTTGTACCCTTCCTGGGAAAGCGCTATGGAGATTTTTAAGAAATCGAAAATGGGCTGGGTGGAGTAATCCTACTTTACATGGTATTTTGAGCAAGGCTAATTTTAAGAATCTGGTTTCAATGTATTGCTACCTTTTGTGCCATGTTAACATAAGCCAAAGGAATATGCACACACACAAACAAAAAATAGATAATTTTTGCCTATCTCTTTTGGTGTAATTTGACCATAGGCTGTTCACCCCACTTCACAGGGCCATGCAAGTATCTCTGTGCTAACAGTTGTAGGACATGCACCTTTTCCTGGGAAGATAACCGGGTTGATATTCTAAACATAAAAAAAAAACAAACCCCAAAACAAACAAACAAAACCAACCATATTGCTGCTACAGGAATATGGCCAACTATCCACTGGAACTTTGAGTATTTTAACTCTTGAACTCTTTCTGTACTAGGTAGAAGACATGACCCCACTGGGCACATGTGTTAAAACTTAAGATTTCATGAGTGGGCATTATTGATTTCTCTGTGAATGTAATTTTTTTTCCACTTTAGGAGGTTTGTGTACCACATCAAATAAACGATCATACCACAGTTTCTAAAGTAAAAGTCAACTCTTATACAATGTATGCACAGTACCAATCAATCTTCTACGTGTAAGATCATTTTCTAATGGGTACTTATGGGCTGGTAAAGCTATCCCTGGGGTTTGGCAAAGGCCAAAAAAAGCAAAGGTAGTAACTCCAGCCCCTGAGAATATCTAATTGGCAAAGTAATCAGCCCTTAAATGATCAGAAGAATAAAATCCTAATAATTCCTTCTATATAATGGATTTTCTGCATCACAAATATTCAAGTGATAGAGAGTAGCAGTGTATTTTACTTAGATGTAGGAACACAAAAATCAGAGGAAATATCCGTCGGTGGATATGGTTTCTATCTTGAACCCCTAAAATTTACATCTCAAGGGCCAGTTCCCTGGCTGGAGTGAGGCAGGGTGTCCTATTTCTGGGCACAGCTCTAGGAAGCAGCGAGCTGATGTGAGTATGAGTTATAGATATTAAAACCAACTTTTCCTCCACACCAATACCCCGTCCCTCCAGAAATCTTAATAGGCTTTTGAGAGCCTCCATTTAGAGCCGGCTGCATAAAATGATCCTTTGATGAAAAGGGATTGGAACAAGGGTTAAAGCAGACATTGAAAGGTTACTGTAGAGGGCACAGTGTTCATACAACCCTTCTTTAATATGTGTGGTGTGCACCTGTGATAAGATGATTCATTACATGGGGCCTCTCTTTGACAAGCTCCATCGTTCAGCCCTCAGGGTTCTGATGGGACAATCCTGCACCCGCCCAGGAAATAAAACAAGGTCAGTTTTTTTTCCCTGGGACGTAGACGGAGACGATTTAGCTTATAATGCATCTTTGTTTACTCTTTATGTAAAATAAAAACAGGGTTCAAGACATCGAAATGCCTGCTCTCCACAGAGCAGGCCAAGCAGGGAGGATGCAGACACACTGCTGGGCAAATAAGTAAGGCTGGGGAAAAAATCTTTGTGAGAATGCTAGCCCCTTCTCCCTTGGATTTCATGATCATGAACAGTCACACTGGAAAACCAAGTGTCCTAACCACTGGGTTGTGAGAAAGGCCTTCAGATGGAGGGTACCCTAACATCATCAGTTTCATCTCGTTTGCTTTTTATGCAGGTTTTGGGTTTATTGAGTCGTATGAAGCTCTTCCAGTATCTTGTATGAGCATTACGTGGCACATTAGCAGTGTGAGGGGACGGACCCTATCTCACGACATGAGGAAGGTTTACTGCCCCTGTCATACTGAAGTAAATCAACAAGCATGCCAGAGGTTGCCTGGCTTCCATGGGAATTGGCAGGAGGCCGGGGGCCATGGAGCTGACTTGCATTTGGCTTCATTCTAACTCACCCCTTTTCTTTGTTGCTTTTAAAAGACTTCTTCATCACCTTCCCATACATTCAAAAATTGGCTTTGTTAAGACTAATTTTGATATCTTACAGCAATTATGGAAGGAAACTGATCAGTTTCCCTCATTATCCAAGTTCTTCCCTAAGTGAAAAATAAAAAAAGCATTTTATTTTTTAAATGTAACTTTTTTTTTTTGAAAGAATGCCCCTGTAATGCAAAGTAACTTCTTCATATAACGTCATAACATGAGTCACAGTACAGAGATAAAAACAAAATAAAACTTTGACAATCTAGAGGTAGGAAAAAAAATCTTGCTTCTAAAATATAGAAACACCTCCCAACCCTTCTCCTATTCTTGACATTGCTAGTAAACATTATTTATTTGCCTCGAATAGATGCGGTTACATATCACTGTCATGCAAAAGAAATTCATTTCCTTTCCGAGTTCAATCTGTGATAAAAATGCACTCTTGTTCCCATCTCCCACTCACCTGTCCTTGTGCATTAGTAACTAGTTGACCTGTGACCCCCTGAAGACTGGAGAGGGCATTGCCAAAGGCCTGTGAGCTTGCTATGGAGCTCATGGCTGCTGCAGCCGCTGCAGCCTGACTTGCTAGTGGATTATTAACCAGCTGCAAAGAGAGAAAAGATCACCGTGAAAACCACCGAGAGGCACAGGCACAGCACACGGATACAACATTGACTCTAGGGAGGTAGTTCTTGCCTCAATTCGCTCATGCAAAGGGGCCTGGAATCCACCGGAGGGGCGTGGCGAACATTCCCCGGAAGCTCTGGGGTAGGGGGATGATGGAAACGAGGCTGGAGGGAAAATGTTGGGCAGCTTGATGGAGCCTGGGTTTAGGGCTAGCCCAGGAGGGAACGAGCCTGAACTTTAGGGGTGAGGTGGGCTGTTAGGACCTTCTTGGGTGGAGAAATGATTTTGCAGAAGCCCTCTAGATTAAATAAAACTCTGAGGAAATATCTGCTTTCCCTGAGGTAACCAGACAGAATAGCGGAGTAAATAGGATAGGGGTTGTGGAAAGAGAGGAATAGATTTTTAGGATTTCTGCGAATGAATTTATCATTTCCATTTGTGGATTGCAGTTTCTTTCAGGGACATCGGGTGAGGCAGGTGTTCCACCCCACTTTCTTGTTTGAGGGGAGAAGGAAACCAAAGCCAGTAGAAATGGGAATCTATGGCCTCTGTGCTCTCAGAGGGTGAGTCTAGGGCTGCGACAATTTTGGGGCTTTACCCTAACCACAGGATTCAAGGCCAATAAGAATGGCTGTTTGATGCATGGTCAGATTGACAACTGCTTGCTGTTGTAGCTGATATATGGTCTTTCCTCAGCCTCTTTCCTGGGACAAGAGTGAAACAGGGAGGAAGAAAGAGAGAGGGGGAGAGAGACCTGCCAGGGAGGAGGTTATGGCTGCCAAAATCTGTTTTTCCATGGAGACCAATTCAATATTCTCCTTCCTGCCAATTTTCCACGCCACAGGTTTTCAGGCCTTCTGACCATGAGGCAGAAGTGTGGCTTCAACTAAAATCTGCATTTAGGTTAATGACTAGATATAAATTCAAGAAACATTTAAACTATTTTCACAGTATTGGTTTTGATACATGAATTTCATTTGTATTTATTCTAGGGTGTTATTTTTTTCCCATATAGTTTCTCTCAAGTACAACAATTGTTGTGTTGGAAATAATGCATTTTCCATCACCAGTTCCCACATCCATGAAATTCCTGCATTTTTTTCAGAAACATGCCAAGACTAAGACTTGGTGGAAAAAAATTAATGCCATACCTAATTCAAGTCCTGGAAGCTCTTCTAAAAATGCTACTTTTTAAACTTTCCTTTCTTTATTTTCTGTCTCAGTCTTTCTTCTCTCTCTCTTTTCCTTCTTCCCTGTTTCTTTCCTTCAAACCATATTTAATTTCTTAATTTCTTTGGAAATTTGCCTAGAGATTATACTATCTTATGAAGAAGGAAATATTATCAGAGAAAACATCAAAAAGGGCAGGAATTTAATAATTATTTTTTCATTAATGTGATATCTTTATCTTATTGGTTTCTTTATTCATTTATAACTACATTTCACATAACTGTTCTTCAGTAATTCTGCTGACCCAGCTATTTTTTTTTTAAAATGAGAATCCATTTTAAGTTGATTACTTTATGTCTTTTGCCTTTATCTCTCTCCTAAAAGACAATAATGATTTTCTTTTTAAGGAGAAAAAAATTCTCACTCATCAGCCTAAAGAGAAACCCTGTCTTATCCCAGATTACCACCATGGGATTTAAAATTCAGGTTGGTCTTGATTGTGATTTTTGGAGTATGTCTTTATAGGATAGATGGGGTAACAGTATGCATCCAGAAGTAACTCTCCTTGTTTGTAGACTACCTGAAGTGAGAAGAGTTCATAATGTGTTCTTTTTTTTTTTTTAACTTCTGAAGTGAGAAGACTGCATTGGAAACACTGTCTCCAAACTGCTGGTACAGACACTGACCATTGGTACAATATTTTTAGGTCATTTATCAAGTGCCATGTTTACATTTCTTTCATGCAATACAAGTTGAAATCATAATGAAATTCTTGAGTTTTGGAATATCTCAAAATAAGCTTCTTCATCCTCAACAAATGATTAAATTATGTTCAATTGGATCTTAGTGTCGAACATGGATTTGGTCCATGGATTTTGGGTGAACAATTTAAATATCTATATACAGACTGCTCTCTGAAGAGGATGGGCATTTATTTATATTTAATGAAAAGAAAATATTTTTATTAACTGCAAGACATTTCCCTAACATCTATGTTGATCAAAAATTCATATAGGAAATTATAGAATTATTCTCTGGATACAAAATAGCATAGATTGGGAATTTCCTACATTTAGGACACTAGTGTGTTGTTCAGATATAGTCCCATGCAATTTGCTGCATATTCAGGTATTGCATAAATATAAACAATTATGCTGAATACGAAACAAAGTCTCTACTTAAAAGTGAGCTTCTGAGCCTTTGTGTTTTGGGGTCAGAAATGGGTATACTTCAACTGCTTTGGACTGCTGCCTTGGCTTATTTTTAATGTTTATTTCCTTTGTATTCTGGTCCTAGCTTAAAATCTAATTTGGTCCTCTTTTTGCTGCCCTTCCCTCTTAATAAAGCAAATGCCAACTCAGATGACTCTTTTACTTCCTACCCGGCATTCCGGTAGGTCTTTGTGGAAGTTGTCTGAGCTCTGGGGAGATGCCTTGCTGTCCCTGTAGAACTAGAGCTAGAACCACAGTCACAGAGTGTGGTGTGCACAGACAGTGGGTGCAAGCCAATCTGTAAGCTGACAGCATTCCAGGAGGACCCCTGGTGGTGTTGATGGATGCAACTTTATACCTACATATCTTTTGGCTTCTCTGTCTGTGACTGCCAAGGCAGGGATGTACTATGCATTAAAATATGTGGCAGGGAAGTGGAGGGGGTGGTCAGGAAGCCACACGTGTTCTTCTCATCACCTCGGGTCATGTCACTCTGTATTGTCCCCAGTCATATCATGTTAGCACTGCTCCTATCAATATTTCTTGATTGGAGACTCCGGGTAGATTTGGACAGAGGGGAACTCAGGCACAATAAATGCACATAATGAGCATGTTATCGTTCCGGGACCAACTGGATATTTTGAAGCTGCTGCCCAGTTTATGCCTTCAGATCTTTCATTGCCAATGTACCTAACCAGCAAAGGATGGCCCAAATGAAGTCTGACTATAATACATGGTCTTGTTTTCAACAGACCAGCTTAAAAGACATGATGAATTCTGGTGTGTGCTTGTTGATGAATGTGGAAGCTTTCTAAAGGAAGGATTTGCAGAGGGCTAGAGTTCTTATGTTATATACAAATGGATTCTGGGCCTTGAATACATCAAGTTCTACTTCTGGAGTCTAAAAACCCACTAAGAGAAACATTGATATCTTAAGACAGTTTTCTCCTCCCTGGAATTTTAGAGAATACAATGACAGAATAATTTTTTAAAGTAGTTTTATGCCAGTGAGGAAGGGCTCCAAGCCTCACATTCCCCTGCTCACCCATTAATGCAGGTGAGGGCATCAGCTCTGAAAACAGACTGCCTTGGTCTGTGACTTTAAGTAAACCACACTTCATTTTCTTATGGGTAAAATGGGTATAAAAAGAATATCACACACAGGGTTAGAACGAGAATTAAATGCGATAATGCATTCAAAATTTTAGAATACCTAGCATACATTATTTTCTTAATAAATGCTAGCTAATATTCTGATGGTTTTTACTGTGCATGAAGATTTTGAATTAATCAACTTAGAATTAGAACTCACCTCCATAAATATCTTTTTTCTTTGGAAATAATATGAACAAGGGTAATTATTCCCTATTTTTAGGGCAATTTTATTTTACCTTTTTTTCTTATAAAAAAAGATCAGCTTGAAGAATGTGTGAAAGTATTTTAGAGTAGAGAGCATAAGCAAAAAGTACTTAAGACAGGGCTTCATCTGCCAGTCTTGGGCCTGTCCTATTTGATGGAATTAGCTCATCTATAGAGAAAGTAGTGCTTTGAGTCTGAAGTCAGGGTCAGTGGGTGATAGCAAGAGAAGACATTACCTTATTTATAGTATGTTTTCCTTATCCTTAGTTTGCAACATTCATTAGGTTTCCATAAGGGCACCCATTTTGGAGTTTAATTCCTGCCTCACATCAAAATATTATCAATGAGTCCATCGCACAGTTGCTGATTTGATAGTGAGGGAATGCAGGAAAAAGATTTGCAAAAAAAAAAAAAAAATTCCTTTAGGATTTGCAGTGATTTATTTCTATGTCTGCATATCAATATGGATATTTGGTGCTCATCTCATAATGAGAATAAATCCATATTTCCAAATCTGTATACTTTGTGTATCTCCTTGCTGCCTGTGTACACTAAATGGTGATGAGAAAAAAAGCTTTGATAAAGTCTCCCCAAGAAGCCCCCTTAAATGATGTCATATGGATGTCACCATAGATAATATCACATGATGGAAGAAGGTTTTTCTCTAAGTCATGTCCCATATTCTCTTTCTCTGAAAGATGCATAGTTTGCATCCTGGAAAGAATTCAGTTTCCTTAAATCTGAACATTAGTAGTAATAATATGTTTCATGCAAATGGGCTGATTATATAATTCTATTATTATAAATCTCATTTACAAAAATATGGCAGCATGATGAGAAAATTTAGCTATGGTATTATATTCCTATGTTTATGTCTTCATTCTAAGAGGGACTTATGAATGCAGCTGCCTCAAAACCTTTCTTTGGAGCATAATTGTCCATGATCTATAGTTCTATCATTCTCCTCATGAGCTATGTGGATTTTATAGAGTATGGATTTTGGAGCAGCTCTTTTTTGCTACTAACTTTTCAATTTAGAACCCTGGAACTGTGGTGCCATTTGTTTTCAAATGAGGATATTCATAAATGCATTCATCACTATTCATTCCTCATTTAAGGTTTGAAATGACTTGGCAGTGGCTGCCTAGAAACAGCAGGAAAAATTCAGCTTTTGAGTTCATTTACATACATTAGGACCTCGACTTTTCCTGTATGTATGAAAAAGTGTCTCTTGATT